GGGGAGGAAGGTGTGGAAGTGTCAGTGATGACTTCTTCTCCCCTAATGCACATTGCCCTTTGATTAGGGCATGCAAAAGCAATATGACCATGCCCTAAACATTTAAAACACTTAATGGAGCTAGGGCGAGAAGGTGATTTAGGTTTGGAAGTGTGTAGAGTGTGAGAAGAGTGATGGCCAGATTTGTGAGTGACCTCCTTAGAAACATCCTTATTTATTTGTTTGGATGATGGTGATGTATAGAAAGAGTCTTGAGAAGGTTTTGAAAATTTTTCTTTAGAAAAATTTCTAAAAAACTCCTTCCTAAAAAATTGTTTTTCCACTTTGATTGCTCTATGCACTACCACATCCAATTTTTCATCATCATGAAGCTCAACTATGTCTTGGATGTTTTTATTGAGCCCACTAACAAATCTAGCTATTTTTTGTTGTTCATTGTCCATGGTGTTAGTCCTATGCATGAGCACTTTGAGCTCTCTAACATATTCCTCCACACTTCGTCTCCCTTGATTAAGCCGTTGGAGGTTAACCAAGAGTTCCCTAGTGTAGTGTGGGGGCACAAAATGCGTTTGAAAAACGTCCTTAAAGTGTTCCCATGTGATCGTGCGTGGTCCCGTCGTTTTAATGTCCATCCTAGAGAGCCATTGCATGGCAAGTCCTCTAAAACTAAGGAAGCTAACTTTACATGCAAGCCTACATCTACCTCATACAAATCAATAATATGCTCTACTTTAACTATCCAATCTAAATAAGAACTAGGATCCTTGTTTCCATCAAATTTGGGAAGATCAAGCTTGGGTAATTTCTTCACTTGAGCCCCAAAGTCTTGATGCTCAACTGCTCCTCTCCTATAGCCATGTCTACAACCACGATGATTGTTATGACGAGTGTTGGTGCGACCACGGAGAGGGGAAGGGTCCTCATGCCCGATGAGTTTTAACTCCTTAACCATCCTTGTGTTGAGCAAGTCAAGTTGGCTTTGGAGACTCTTAAACGCTTGGCCCATATTGAACTTGCTAGTGGCACTCCCAACATCACTATCTCCACTTTTTGTCGAACAATGCTTAGAAGAACCTAGAGAATCCATGACAAACAATTGCACACAAAAGAAAAACTAGAGAAATTTTTTCTTTAAATCAAAAGTAAACCTCACCAAGTGTATAACTCTCGATCATACTCAATTTAGGAGGGAAGGAGCAATCTTACTCAAGCAAAAATCTCAAGATAGAGGGTTTTCTTTTTGGAAAATTGAGAAGCAAGTCGAGCACAAATGCAAGAGAAAGATGATCAATCACCAAGCTTACTTAAAAAGAAGTAAAACCGAGAGGCATAAAACACAAGAGGCCAAAAAAAAGTTTAGAAATTACAAGACAAGTAAGGTGAAATTGAACCTAAGTAAAGCAAGAAAAGGTTGAAGCCCAAAAAGGTAATAATTCTAGAGTTTTGTTTTTGAAACAAGACAAAACTTAAAATAAGACAAGCAAGAAAATAGGATATAACTCAACAAAATAGCAAGATAATTTGACTAAGAACTAGAAAGTTTAAACACACAAAGAATCAAAGCATGCTAGAAGAGAAAGATTTCAAGAGAGTGGAAATAATTTGTCCTATCTCAATTTATATGTTCAAATAAGAATTTCAAACACAAGTGAGCATGTATATCCTTCGACCAAGACAATTTTGAAAGCTCAAATTGATTTAATATATGTAATTGAAGAGCTGGATATTTTTTTTAACACCAAGAGCTCTAGGCCAAAGCAATTTTATTTTTTTTACACTTAGAATTTGAAGGTAATGAACATATAAAGAAATAAGAACACTTAAATCCTATATGCAATCCATCTCAATTCCAAACATGTAAAACTCAATTTATCATTTAAACAAATAAGTTCAAAGCAAATTGAGAAGCAAGGAGATGGTATTGGTCATGTTTTGTGTTACCTTTCTATTTTTTTTTTGTGCCCCATCTATGATCACATCACTACTGGTGGTGTTCAGAATTATGTTGATGATCTGGGAATTTACAAGATGGACATCACTTTAGAAGATGTCAATCCACGTCATGTTAAATTAAATGATGGTGAAGAAGACTTTGAATTGGAATTGGAGGATTTTGAGATAGAAAAAGATTTATTATAAGATAAAGCATACTTTGGCAGAATTTTTGAATCGGAAAAAAGAAAAGGATGAAGAGGAGGCTTTATGTCTAAGGTGTAATGCAATTTTCGATAAAGCCACTGCTAAATGGTTTGAAATGAGCAAGAAAGCAAAAGACAATTAGAAGTAGGAGCAAAGTGTGGAGTGTCATAATCAAACCTTACAGATTACAATGAAGGATTATCAACCACACCCAAAGATGAGTGGATTGAGGGGGGGGGGGGAGTGTTTAATCATTGAGGTATGTACGAACTAAGAAATAGAAGTGTTTTCAATAAATTGTCATACAAACCTAATTTTTATACTACATATCCTAAGTTCTCAAAGGGATTCCGTCGAGGAGGTCCTTGGATGAGAGGGAATGTCATAGCCTTTTTGGAGAAGAGTATCGAAAATTAGACCCATGGATACAGTTGGACTGAGTGAAGGTGGTCAAGTATACACTAGCACTTTGATCAAACAAGGGGATGGTTTAAGTGTGGATCTGAGACAAAGGAATGTTAATGTAAGGGTAATCTCGATTTTACCAAATGAGTGTGATAATATGTATGAAGAGAGCCAAATAAGGCAAGACTCAAGTTGAGAGGACTACTACATATCAACTTTACAACCTAAAGCAGTTTAGGTCACCAAGTTTCATGCGAATAGACTCATTGATACACAACTCTTATAAATCTACCAAGTGAAGATGAGTGAAAGCATTAAGGGGAAGATTGATGGCAATGTGAAACATGTCCCTACATTCCCAAGATATGATTTTGATAAATATTTAATTCAAACATCAAGCAAGCCCAAGATGATTCATGAAGACTAGATAGAGTCTTAGAATACTGGATATAGAGGTACAAGTTGATGAAGTGGTATAATGCATAAGCCTCCAAAGCACAAGTGTGATAAAATTTCGTAACATAACATTTTTCACTGTCATAATCAATTATGATGCATCAGAAATGGAAAAACGATTTTCTCTCTATCATAATTGATTATACTGGTAACATAATCGATTATGGCAGTTCAAATTTGAAAATATATCTATTTTGAAGAATAAATGTTTTTGAATATATCCTGATTTTATCAACGAAAGTATTAATGACCAACGACTATTTTCTGATACTATTTTCCTATTTAAATGAGTTTTGATGAAAAATAAAATATACACAATTATAGAATTCGAAAATTCAATTTACATTCAATCAGCTTTGAGAAAAGAATTCTGAGCAAGGCAATAGAGAACTTTTAGGTTTTCTGAGAAAACTTTTTCATATTGCCTTCTGCACTTTCATTGTCAATCACACTGTGTTCTTGTAGTTATCATTCTACAGACTTCTACAATTTGTTGTCTCCATTACCAGGTGTGACTGTTCTTATTTTTTTAGGAACTTAATGTTAAATTCCCTCTTTAGGGTTTAAGTGGTTGGTGTTAAATTCTCTTTTTAGGGTTTAAGTTGTTTTTCTTATTTTACTGCCTTCATCCTGGTGGGTTTAGGTGTGCACGTTGTCAGTGTGTTTGTGTTTGTAGTTTCTACTGTCATCCCTTTGATTTGTTCAGAGAGGTGTTTCCATCCTTTGATTTGTTCAGAGGAGGTGTTCATCCCTAGTGAGATTGTAAGGAGGTGTTTATTCTTAGTAGGATTCTAAGGAGGTGTTTTCATCCCTTTGATTTGTTCGGGGAGGTGTTCATCCCTAATGTGATTCTAGGGAGGTGATTAAAATAAGTTTGAAATTTTGAAAGTTTGAGATTTTAGAAATTTAAAATTTTGCAGTTTGAGATTTTTGAAATTTAAAATTTTGCAGTTTGAGATTTTTGAAATTTTAGATTTTGAAATTTTGAAATTTTGAATTTTTTGCAGTTTGAGTTTTTTTTTTTAATTTGAAATTTTGCAGTTTGAGATTTTTTAAATTTGAATTTTTTGCAATTTGAGATTTTTGAATTTGAATGGGAATTTGAAATTTGGGATTGGAAATTTGAATTTGTAATTTGTAATTTGTAATTTGTTGGAATTTGAATTTGGAAATTGGAATTTTTTGGAATTTGAATTTGAAATTTTTTTCAATTTGAATTTGAAATTTGAAATTGGGGGAAACTACTGCATTTCATTCCATTATCTCTGCAATCATTCCATTATCCTATCTTTCTCTCTCTTCATTTGCCTTGGGTATCCTAGATATTGCCTCCTTAATATGATGTTCTTCTCTATGACACTTTGTGACGCATTATCTTCTTTACCTTGATTTATGTACTAATCTGTGCAAATTTGTGCTCAATTTCTATTGCAATATTTTTCATAGTTATCAATTAAACAAAGAGAGATTTTGATGATATTAATTTGTGTGAAATAGGGGGAGTTTTTTTTTTCTCTTACAATATTTTTTTGATTATCAATGAAACAGGGGGAGATTTTTGTATGAATTAATCTCTGTGTCAAATTCATTTCTATTTGTGAATTAAACAGTGTTAGATTAATGTGGAGGGTCCAGTTTATTCATCCAGTTTTTGTTCCCATTTCTTTTTATTCTGATCCAGTTTCTGTCAATGGTCACATTTTGAATTTTAAAATGGTTTTCTGGAAGTCACGTCCCATGATTTTAATATAGATTTTACTCTCCTCCATTGCATCAGTTTTATTTATATATGATCATATCAATATCCGCTTTTAGTAATTCACTTTGTATGTACAAAGTGATGCTTATCTAGAAAAGTGGTGTTGCCTACTTTTCTTGTGTTTTGTTTTCCTCTTTCTTGATCTATCTATTTCCAAGAATGTGAAAGGGTGGAGTTTACGTGTTACGTGTTCTGCTTTTCTTCTTTAAAGGCAATTTAAATTTATTTGAAATGCAAAAAGGGTGCAATTTCTAGTTATATTCATCCATTCATCAACAAGAAATTGTTGCAGATTTGCGATGGACTTCCCGTAGAGGATGTTATATGTGAAGATTTGTCATCTAGAAACTCTGGAGCATCTCGCTATCAATTTCGGGAGAAGCCTAATATTGGAGTAGAATGTGCTCTCTATGGTGCTACTACTGGTGCTTTTAGGAAGTTTTCTGATGGTCAATGGGTTCATGCTCTCTGTTCCATTCATTAACTGCCTCTAGCTACTTAAGTGTCTTGGTAGTGATTAAGGCCATGTTTTGATTTTTATAATGGAACATAATAAAGTAATATTTCTTTTTGTATCTCAAGTCTGAACGTGTATATCATTTATTTGTTTTTAACAAGTCCTACAAAATGTGGAGAACATGACTTGCTCCTATATTTATGGGTGCTTTGTGGACTACTATATAAATAAGATGACAATTTTCTCTACTATTTTTTTTTTCGGTTGTTGTGGTAATTAAGTATTCTGTCATTTTTGTCTTCAAAACTCTATCTTGGATGTCTTAACAAATGTTGGCTTCTTCTAGCTTCCCAAAGTTTATGCTATAAGCCTATAAGTTATGATGCACGAATACATTCCTAGTGTAATTTTGATATTTTGATAAAATATATAATGTATTTTATATTCCTTAATCAGGTTTATTATTATTTTAAAAATATAATAAAATAAAATTAGTGACCGATATAGTGACCGATTCGGCCATATATTTGGTTATAAAATT